TCACGGAAAACAAGAAAAAAAAGCTTTGCAACATTTAATTATAATCATTTTTGCAGAAAACACCAGTTCTTTAAGGTGACTGGATAGGAAATCACAAAATTTCTTTACACAACCTGAGGTGAATCTCAACATTTTTTCAATAAACATCAACTGAATTAATGTAGGGTTAAAGTTTATTAAGCGAGGAAGTTTTTGTGGAAGTGGGTCAGGTGTAGTACAGTTGAAGGGTGATAAAAAAAATCACAAATAATTCATGATTTTTTTTAAACGAAACTTAGCTGTGTTTGCCCGCACAATAGTCCTCTTAAAATAGTTTTAACGACGACCTTCGTTTAAATTAAAGTTTGTCTAGTTTACTATCGAACAATATTTAGTTACTTAAATTAAATGTTTTTTATGGTATCACTTCCTATACAACAAAAAACGTTTAAAAAAGACAAATCTTAAATTTCCTACTTTTCTGTTGGAAATTGGACAATTGTTCAAATGAACTTTTTTGTAGATCTTGATGTCTCCTATCAACTTTTTAAATATTTTAAATATCAACTTAAGGGTTGAGTAATCACACAAATCTTGAACTCATGAATTCCATCTCTTTCTTTGTAAATACTTTTTATAAAGGTTGACAAAAGACGAAAAGACTGCTTTAATTTTACATATATACATAATTTAAATACAAAAAATTTAAATTAATTTAATTAATTTTTGCTCACATATTGTAAAAAATAATGTCATAAATTTGTTATTGTGTTTGTTTCTATTAAAGTTCAACCAACTCATTGTGGTTTCCATTTCTCTCTTAAACATTAAAGTAGTAAGAGGTCATATTCCGCATCTTATTGAACTAGTTATTCTTGGAAGATAAGACTTTTAAGAGGCGTCAATAAAATTATGTATATAAAAGTATGTATAAGCCTTCTTTTTTTAATGTAATTTGTAAATCTCACTATTCATATTCTTATACACGTCCTTTAATAGTTGTCGTTCTGATGATAATCGGTTTTATTAACACCGAATAAACAAAAAAAGAATTATTCACTGACTTGTGTTCCATCCACTTTATGAGTGGAAAGATATATATAAGGGATATATGCATGTTAAGTATGTACATACATACTGTATTCGTAATTGTTTGAAGCCGCAATTTCTATTATAATCACGAATAGGCAAATACCCAATCCACAAATTAAAAACTATTCTGCATTTTTCGTTTCACTGATAATCAAAACTCGTTGATATCGAGCCCACGAATGTTAACGGATTAGTGTATTTCGAAAACGGTTTCTTTGAATCCGTTTAATTTTTTTTTTCGCAAAACCACTTGGTTTATTTTTTGTGTTAACTTTTTCAATGCTTAAGTGATACACGTCGACCAACAACTAAGCCAAGTGAATTTAATAATTTAGTTTGTGTAAGCGGAATGATTTATGTCCTGCACAACACCGGCAAACTTATCTAATCTTCAATAAAGTTTATAGTTACTTCGAAAACTGCGAAACTGTGAATTTCAGAATAGAAAAGAATGGAACGTAAAAATCCAAACGTGTTTCATGTGCTTGCAATAATGCATGAGCTGTCTCATTACGAGAATATTATAGAGGAAGAGGCATGCCACACTTGTCCTTCCCAATGTATCATTATATAGTTATATTCTATAGTTATTGGATGTGATAGAGACAAATTCAAAGGGAAGATGAAGATGAAAGGGAAGGGTATGGACATAGGTTATGAAAAGTATTATCACTTTCCCGTGGTTTCGCCTCAACACTAAATTATCTCTGACCGCTGCGGAGGACAAAACAACTCTTTTATCTCTTTTGTCACTCTTTCATTTTTCTTTTTCCGCTTTTTATTCTACCCTCTGTCTATTTCCTCTTACCACAGATTCACCCGAAAACGTTTTTTTTATATTTTTTTTATTTAAATTGAATATATTGATGTCAATTTAAAATGGCACAACGTGAAACAATATATACTTTTGATCCGTTTTTATTATTATTATATGTCTTATAATAAAAATTGACTTAATTTAAATTCAATTTATTACTGCTCTAAATTACACACACACACACATATATATATATATATATATATATATATATATATATTGATACATGAATCAATAATAGCATAATTAAATTTATAATTAATTGTAACAGTTTGTATTCGGAGTGAATATGGTATGCCAGAATCGGGTAAGAAGGTGTGGACAGGCTTAAAACCGGATGGACAAAACCAATTACTAGGCATGTACATCATAGTGGACAACAGATAAGGCGATAATAAGTAAAGACTAAAAACTAATAAAATAAAAAATAAACTAAACAAATAAATTCGAAAGAGAGAACTGGGCATAGATCTAAAAAAATAAATCAAATATCGGATATAGCCCTACTTCAAACCGATAGGCTTGGGCGTCCTTCGTCCTCCAGGAGCAGCTAGCAGGGATGACCACTTCGAGAGGGCAGCTAAGAAGATCCCAGAAACATTTTATATCAGTGCTAACAATAATTACAATATCAAAGTTCAGTGTTCAAAGTTAAAATCGGAAAATTTGGAGGAAAGATATGGTCTCTTTTTCGGACAAGCCAACTGCATTTCGAAAGTGCATTCCTGAAGAAAATTTGGCAGAGAGGGTTAATGCGTGGGCAAAACACGTGTTGCCCGTCAACCTGACTAACCCAAGTTAAGATGATAAAATAATTACAGGTTCGAGTCACGGTGCTTGGGGAGTCTCTCCCCTGGCCTGGAAAAAAACCCGTATACCCCCTATACTCCCTAAAATAATAAATACCCCCTGAAAGGCCAGAAAAGGATAGACGAATAAAAAACTACCATAAAATATGAGTGAGTAGACTTAACATGACCCAAGAAGAGAGAGTAAGGAAACAATGAGGAACCACACCCACACACCTAAACCACGAGTAAGACCTACACCATTTACCTCATCACTCATCAGCACTGCAATCTAATTTCAAATGCATCCAGAAATTATCCTTACTCTTACAATATATCATATAATTAAAATTTGTATTTATTTCATTTGATTTCTGAGTGAATTTGGCAAACACTTCCATTTCACTACATCAGTGAATATTATTATTATAATTGGAGAGTTTCTTTTGTTCACCTAATGTTTAATTTTTATTTTTAAATCCTTGCACCCATTTTATTTTCATTTATATTTCATATCAGTCATACAGATTGCACCCCCAACCCAAGTCTCCTACCATAATGTAATCAGTTTACTTACTTCTATAACTACTCAACTCATTCTTTGTTCTGTTCTGCTGCTTAACTTATTAGATGCCTCTGTAGTCCATAATAGCATTTATTAGCTGCCATTATCCGTGTCTGAATCTCTGGTTGCACATTATTAATTAAGTTCAACAGTGTCCCAAGGTATATAAATTCCTCTACACAATCGAAGATGAAATCCCCAACTTTTACTCTCCCTTCTAAATATTTAAGATTCCAGAGCATATACTTTGTTTTTGACTCGTTCACCTGCAGTCCAAATTTTTGCAAATTTAGGAAGACTAAATCAGAGCCCTTCATACTCTGAAAACTACGTCCTACGACATCCAAATCGTCGGCATAAGCAAGAATTTGTTCCTCCTATTTGGATTCCCGACTCTCTTATGGCACATTCCCATGTAACATTAAACAGCAAGCATGCTAAAAAAATCACCTTGTCTGAGTCCCTTGAGCATATGGAAAAACTATGATGTATCTTCGGACACTGTCACCGAACACAATGGGGTATACAATTGTTTTTAACATTCTTCAGGAATGCACTCCTCTATCCAGATGTCTAAGATCAGGTTCTCCATTTACCTCGAGATAGCTTCTCTTCCTTGTTTCCAAAGCTCAGCCGGTATTCCGTCAACACCTGGTGCTTCATTATTCTTCAACTGATCTAAGGCGTCTCTAATATCCTCTTAATCTGGTGGTTCCAACTCTTCATCAATGATTTTGGTCTTATGTGGCGTTTGTTCTTCCATCAACTCTCCAAGAGGTTATGAAAATGTTTCTTCAAACGTCCAATAACATTTTCGCTCATTCTCATTAAAACTTTCTAATCTCATTCTGGGTCCGAAATTTCTCAATTTTGTCCAACTCTTTCCTCTCCCAAGATCTTTTCTTCCTGTGATGCATTATTTTTTCGCTCTTCTTTTGTTTTTAAATATTCCACAGAAGATCTGGTATGCATCCTCTGAATCATCATGTGATATGCAGCGTTCTTCTTATCTGTAGCCAGTTAATATTCCAAATCAAACCAGGGTTATGTACAGGCACATTCCGTGTATGGGAGCTATATCTCCTACTTATCAGGATATGGTCTATCTGATTTGTTGTGATTCCATCAGGTCGCAAGGTGTATACTCTTGTAACGAAACATAGTTTTCGTCATCAGCCTCTCTACATTATCTTTCGTGACTTCATGGATACTGTTTTTTCCAATGGTAGGACGAAACACTGATTCCGTACCAATTTGTGCATTTAGATCTCCAATTATAATTTTCACGTCATTTTTGGGGAACGCATCGTTAACTTGCTCAAGGGTATCGTAGAAGTCATCCTTATCCTCATCAACCCATGTCTCTGCAGTTGCATTCACGCTTATGGGTGAAAAACTGCTGTATTTGCCTTTTTGACGAAGGAGGCATATTCTTGGGCTGATTGGATTGAAGTCAATTATCATCCTCTTTCTAACAACAAATCCAATCCCAAATACGTTATGTTGATTCTCGCAGTTGTAGTAAATCTTGGCTCTTCTTGCTCAGAATTCCCTGTCCAGTCCATCTGATCTCTTGGATAGCAGCAATGTCAATTTTATATTTTTCTAATTGGTTGAGGAGATCCTCCTTACGCCTAATATGCAAAAATGTAAAATTAAATTATAAAATGTAATTAAATATTTTTTCACTATCATGACTGATGTCCAAGAATTAAAATACATACCTTTATTGTCATATATATTTATTTTTTCTGTTTAGCACAAAAGGCAACCAAAGATGGATGAAATTGAGAACGACCGTGCAGCTCTCTGGCGCAATAACATCCACAATTCAGAAGAGCAAGCCTACTCTAAAAAGAGAAGACTCCTTCTTGAAGAGATTCTCTACCCGCCAGATTCCTGAGTTGCAAGTAAGATGTGACTGACTATTACTATTATAATATTTTTTTTTTCATTGTTACAAATTATTTGGAGTAGGTAACATGTCAATATGTCTGGTAATTCTAACTTGTTAACTTACATCCATTTTTTTTTCTTTTATCATGAGGGTTATAATTAAATCTAAACGATGAGGTATGAGCGTTAAACAGAATTGCTTCCTTTGTTTCTGGTTATTTAGAATTCAAGAGAGTAATTGTTATGGGCTTATCATTATCGACAGTTTCAATCATTAACAAAAAAACAAATATAAAATTAATTTACTATTTACCAAAAACAAAATACAAAAAATAATTACCAATGTAAATACATGACTAAAACACTCTTCATACATGCATATATAAACAATATAATCTGCATCCTTATTGTGGTTATAAAAAAAAATTCATCATTACAAAAGTACTCAAGAATTCAGGCTTTCCGAAATATTATAGAATAGAATAGACAAATCTACTTTATTCAAAAACAAAGTTCTTATGATTAACAATATTTTTCATAAAAATTATAAAAAAGACCTGCTGTGTATTATTAGTATTTGTTAATAAAGATTTAATATGAACAACAAATTATAATTATTACAATGGTGTGACAATGAAAAAAATTTAGCAAAACTTGTGGGTAACTGAAGATAAGTTAATTTCTAGTATGTTGGTAATGACCAACAGCAGTCGTATGAGGGCTTTCTTCCGTCTAAATATGGGTATTACGAAAATTAAGAACCCCGTTTCTTGTAAAGATTCATCAGTAACCAAAATGCAGTTCAGGAAGTTAAGATCTAGTGTGCATTGTCGAATTAACCACTGGGAGAAATTTCTGCGCTGGTTATAATCTTGTGGTAACAAATCTTGCCTACTCGATACGTGAAATGGATATAATTGTTGTTCGCGTAAAGTTCGTCATTCGCTTGTAGAGGAAACATCGAAACGACGTGACAATCTTCAGGTACTAGTAGTAGCAGATAACTGAACAGCATCAAGTATTTCTTCTTCAACGTTTCCAGTTCGTCCAAATCTTAGTCGACCGCCGTTTAATCCTATAGGTTTTAGCCTGCCATTATTCCTAAGGCGTCTTTCAATGGCCTCAATCGTTTTACGATTTGGTATTCTTCCTTGTAGAAATTTTTCAGGATATCTTCGAACATAGTTCTGTGCAATTACAAAACACCCTGTAGAGAGAGACTCACTTTATTATCATAAAATGGTGCTGCCCAATTACATTGGGTTGCTAAAAACACAGCATACTTATTAATCACTACAGACAATTTTTCAAATAATATACAATGATATAGGATTAACAATATGTATAAGCATATTATACAATATTTTATATATATGTGTGTGTGTGTGTGTATGTGTGTGTGTGTGTGTGTGTGTGTGCGCGCGCGCGCGCTTGTGTATGTGTGTGTGCTTGTGTGTGTGTGTGTGTGCTTGTGTGTGTGTATTACTACTATTTTTTTGTTTACTATTATACTAGTGCAGAGTGTGTTCAAGATTAGTAAAAATGAAATACATTTTAAAAACATAGACTCTTATATAACTATAAGGGGAGGCGGGACAAGAAACAATACAAGATATTCTGTGAAAATTGAAGCTTAAATAAGACCACAAACCGATACTTCAAAAATTAGTTCTAAAGACAAAACAGCGAAACCAATCATCGATGTTAGACTCCAAAATATAACTGTCACATGAGACCTCAAAATAAGATTGTATTTCTTCTTATAATGATTTTTAAAAATAGATGTGACAAAACTATCATTCCCAGGGAAAAGATTTTTCGGATTATATTTCAAATTTATATGCATAAGGAAGGTTTGCTTACTTACATAAGCAAACCAGAGCCAAAACCTAATAATTCTTTAAGCCAAAACCAGACTAGTGCAGTCTTGTCTTCTTCATTTTATATAAAAATGTTCTAAACAGTGACAGTGAGGAGCTTAAAACGGTAGCTCTTCCATATACGGCTGGGAAATCTTCACAGTTCCTAGTAAAACTATGCGCTAAAGCGAAGTACTCCCCAACGCCACTCTAATCCAGTTTTTGTTTCAAAACAAGCGAAAAAAATATTTTTAAAAAAAGCTATTTTTTACTTTTCACGTCATTTGTTTTTTTACAGAATTCAATACAAATATTTATCTCTTTCAATAATAAATAAGTCATTTGGCTGTATGTATTGTGGTATTGTATATGTCCTATATTGTTTAAATTTCTAATACCGCTCAATTGAAGAATATACTGCTAAACAGTTACAAATTCCCTTTCCAGAATATTCTTTTTAGGATGATTGCTGAGCCTTTCTTTTGTATCCTAACAACGTTTATTAAACTCGGCGGGGGGAGTGCTCCCATATACTAAGGGATAAATCTCTCTTATCAGCTACTTGATGCCGATTTCTTTACCTATATAAATCTACTGAAAGTTTAGGACTGACTTGTCAATTAACCATCTCCAACTGCATTTTGATTCTGGCCTAAGCATACTTTATTTTTTTTTGTTTAAAAAAAAATCACTTCTTAGTACATGATTGGAAAGTTCCAAAAACAAACTATTAAGTCTTAAAAACAAATAATAAACTAACCATTCAAAGTTTTACCAATTCAATTAGCATTGGGACAGAAAAATATAACAAGATCTCAAGAATGCGAACTAAAAAAACGTGCATCTCACGTCAGCATTCTAAAACGTTTCTCTAAATAGAGATTGCATATTAATTCAGGAATTTCAACACTTTACGGTATATACATCATGCTTTCTTAAAATTAATATCTTAATAAAATAGCTTGCCACAAAATACATAACTATTATTATTGGTAGTTCCGTTTGTCAGCACTTTCAAAAATTGTTTTCTTTTTTCTTAACAAGAAAATATTAAGGAAGCTCCTCGCATCCTTGCGCTTAAACTGCATACCTTCCTGGGCTTCGTGGTTGTACAAGTACTAGACAAATTGTGTCTACTTTAGCTTACGCACGTGCAAACGTATTATCCTCGAAATGCAGTTGGAATATATCAAATTTATGCCCAGGAAATTTCAATGTGGTTTATTTTATAGTTTTAGTTACCAAACTCTTTCATATTTGGGACTAAGTAAAATATAAAATGACTAAACTTTACCGGTAAAACTTCATTGTGAATGTAAATTTTTCGTTTGTCAAAGCACTGTTCTTCGTTAATATAATCGATTCGCTACCTCGATGGAAGCAATTCAACTAAGTAAATCTTCGCGAATAATGTGATGATAACTGTTCGTATCGGCCAAGCTCACATCTTGTAGAAGTTGTTTTAAAATTGCAAATGAAGATAGCCTGCGCTTTTATAAGCGTTTACTCTTCACATGTTTGAATTGACTCTCCAGTTGCCCAGGACCTAATCCAGCCGGAAAGGCCACCTGGGCCTTCCCCAGCTTACTTTTATTTTGACTACCAAGAGCCATCTATCCCATTTGCTGAAGACATTTGGTAACAGACATTTGAATGTTTATGGATATGCCTTTCTACATAACTGGATTTGACATTGAACAGTCGATTGAATCTTTACCAGCATTTTTACTAGCCGAAATTGTATTGAAGTATTATTTTATTAGATGTTTGTATGAAATCCAATCTATCAAAGTGCCATGTATTCAATAATGCTAATTTGCGCCGATTACAGACCCTGGTCGAGCAGGTTCCAGTCGACCTAGATATCTTTTTTTCTATTCCATTTCGTTAAATTTCTGTAGAAGCCCATATTGACGACATTATTTTGATTTCTTTCATGTATCGTGTTCTTCTCAATAATGAAACTCCAAATACGATCCACGTCTTGTCCGCAGTACGGACCCCTTTTTATCAAACTATCAACATCCGTCCAAATCTTCGTGAATGGCTTCATATTATTGTAACCTACAACTTTTTTATCTACAATAATTCTCAGGAAGATCTAAAAATTCATCTATAGCCATTTGCTTTCCATTTGAATCGTAAGAAAATTTGATAACAAAATCGTGAACAAGGTGGTTTAAAAATGTTGTGGCCTTTGGCTTATACAAGCAGGTTATTTTGACATTAAGCTGATCTCACACCCATCACTTCTCCATTCATTCTTCTAACCATTTTAACCCCGTTATTTTAGATTAGTCACTTCATAGTAAGGGCCAATTTTTCATCACTCAAATTGAATAAACTAAGAGCTTAAGGTTGTAAATTACTGTAAATTAGGCTCCTTATTTAACTATCTAAATTTAATTTAACTTGTTAAACATTCTAATTAAAGGTTGGTGAAATTCATATGGGTGAAATTATACATGCCAAATTTTAGTCAAAAATAAAATATCAAATCAGTTGAAGTTTTTTCTAGCTTACGAAATTTTAATCTTTTGGTAAGCCGGATTATTTTCTGTTTCACTCGAAAAATATACAGATGCATGATGAACTGGTAATTTTTATTAAAATTAATGCAAGAAACTATAAGGAATTGGTATTGGCAATCGACTCTTGAAGCCTCTGATGTCGAGTATATTTTTAACGGAGTTGCATTGAATTATTTTGCATTAGTTCACTTCAACAGTATTTCTATGGCTCTTTTTTAACGAAATACAATAAATAAGACTATGGACGATATTATAAATCATGAAAATCGTTCCAAAAAATTGTGGAACCCATTATGCCGATATTATAAAACATATTCAACTAAAATGTTTATAATTAGTCATGAATAAATAATCATGGTAATGTTTTTTTAATTATTTATTAAGATATTTTACAATCTGTCACATTTAAGGACAATGGTAAATAGTAGCTCATTCACACTACGCACAATGAATAAAAATAAATAGCAGAAAAATAATAATACTAAAAGTAAATGTATATAAGCTAAAATATAGTTAACTAAACTAAAGGAAGCTAAACTATCCTTTAGTTTAGTTAACTATATTTACTATATGTTTAGTTATCAAAATAACTACTTAAATACACACATGATTTTATAAAATATT